GAGTGTGGTTTTGATTTGTATTTCCCTGATGAGAAGTGACGTTGGGCATCATTTCATGTGTCTGTTGGCCATCTGGATGTCGTCTTTGGAAAAGTGTCTATTCATGTCTTCTGCGCATTTCTTCACTGGATTATTTGTTTTTCGGGTGTGAAGTTTGGTGAGTTCTTTATAGATTTTGGATACTAGCCCTTTATCTGCTATGTCATTTAGCAAAGCACTTCAAAACAAGTCACTCCAACATTTAAAAGCATTCCAGTACTTGAGCCAACACACTTATACAACATTATTAAGTTCAGAAGTTCTCAACTGCTCAGAAGCCCAACGGAACCCCTGTCCCACCTCCAAACCCGTGGACTCCCCGAGTGTCAGACAAGGCTGGAAAATAATTTAGTGAGGATGCTATAGAAGGCATTCTTCCGCTAGGTAACAGTTTGGATAAAAGGAATTTCTCCCGATTTTAAGATGGTGTGATAACAGAAAAGAACTTTCAAAATAGCCTTGTATAGCTCCATACACCTAAATTTCTTTATAGTGATGAAGAGATGCTATCTCCAATTCAGTCATATTGTCATATTAACACCTCAAAACCTCTCTGGCTTCTTTACTTCCAATACCTTACTCAAATCTACTTTTATGCCTTCAGAGATAATTTTTTAATACAAGGTATTAATATTTTCAGATCTTTAAACCCTGCGAAATCAGTAGGACCGGTGATAATGAACACATATTTACACACATGGAAACATAAGCTCAGTGGCTAGCTTTTAAAGTAAAAACTTATTAAGGACCTGACCGGAGCTAGAGCACATGCTCCCGGGTTGTCAGGACTATTAAGGTCTTTTCTCAACTGCGCCCGATCTCTCCTGGCTGCTGTCTTGCTGGGCCATGGCAGAGAAAGGGCTTTTGAAAAATATGTTGTATTTATTACAAAGTTTTTACACCTGTTCTTAATTTTAAAATCAGCTGATTTAAAAATGTGTGTGTGTGTGTGTGTGTGTGTGTTTTCTCAAAAACCCTTTTTAGTTTCCCTAAACTAATCATTAGATCTGCAGCCATCTGGAAAAGGAAAAAATAATTTTTAGCATGTTCTGTGTTTGGGTTTATTACTCTTTAAAGTTTCTACTGTAAAATATCTTTAAATTAAAATCTGTTTATTTTTAATTCGGAAGATTTCTCCAATTATCACATTTTGTCATATATTCCTTAGACAGGACTTAAATGAAAAAAAACCTGGGGCGCCTGAGTCACTCAGCTTAAGCATCTGGCTCCTGGCTTAGGCTCAGATCATGATCTCACCGTTAGTGAGATCGAGCCTTACGCTGGGCTCAGCGCTGACAGCCAGGAGACTGCTTGGGATTCTCTCTCTCTCCCTCTCTCTCTCTGCCCCTCCCTTGCATGTGCTCTCTCTCACTCAAAATAATAAACATTAAAAAAAAAGAAAAAGAAAAAACCTTACTGTGATGTTGGCAAAGGCTGTTCCAACCATAAAGTAGAATAGTCTAGGATGTATCTCTAAAATATCTGAAGGTGACTGAAGGATCCATGCTGTAGACAAAATGAAGAGCAAACATGGAGAAAAAAAGGGAACCATAGCTTCATAGACTGAATTGTGTTTCAAGGTGTTATTTTTATAGCTTCTGAAAAAAAAAAATCAAGTAATACAAAGAACATTATTACAATATGAAAATCATTCCGTATTTGTAACTTTTGTAGTTTTGAAACTTTTTTCACACTTATCCTCTTAATTTACACTCACAATAATCCCACAGCATACATAGAACCAACATTACTAAACCCCATTTTACAGACAGGTTAAGTGACAACGTGAGAATTCAAATTTATATAACTTCCTACCAAGTGGCAGGGCCAGGACTAGAATGGAAGTGTTCTGACCCCGGGGCCTCCAGAACGTAAAGATAAATAAAACCTGATCTTTTGTTTTACAAGACTTATGCTCTAGGAGGGGAAATAAAATGAACACAAAACAGCACTAGCAAGTACCTGGCTGTGTTGTTATGATACCGAGTGACAGAGAATCTAAAAGCGGACGACTCTGCACTGAGACTGTCCTAGCATATCTCACTGTCTCTGGCCACACACTCCCATACATGTTTGCTCATCTGAACAAAGCCCCAAATTCTCCTCTTGGTTCTGTCACTGACAACATGATTCTGGACAAGATATTGCCTGATGAGGACCTCATCCTTAGAAGAAGAGGAAATGTCTCAATTTCTAAGGCCTTCAGAGCTTTAAATGTTATGGTTTCTATGAATGGCTGCCAGCTGCCATCGACAGGGAAGATTCATAGAGTGTGGCTTGACAGAGAGGATTCTGCAAGACAGATCTGAGAACTGAAGGATGAAGTGGGAAGTACAAGTGTTTCACGTAAAGGAGACAGCACTAGAGGGAGGTGGGGGCCAAATTACCAAGGAGAGAAAACAGCAAAGTACTTTCAGGGCCCGTAAGAAAATTCAGCGTGGCTGAGCAAAGGTGAAGTGCAGATCAGAGAAATGAAACTCTGCCCAGGCAACTCCCCCAGTATCCCCGGCCCCACTCCTCGGGGCGGGAATTTTTATATAGTGTGACTTGGAAGTCAGCATAGATCCGGGGTTTGGTCCTAAACTACACAAACTCAGAAATTTAATTTTATGATCATGCTGACTAAACTTACACAGAAGCAATTCATAAAAACTTACCATCAATTTCTAAAAAGGACATAAACCTGTCACTATTCAACGGGAACACACTCCTTCCCAATTCACTCACAAAAAATGACAAATTAGACGACTTGTCTGGTGAACCAAAAACTGTAACAAAAGAACTAGTAGTTTGTGCTGTGGTTGAAATGACCACACAGCGACCATAGATACCCTAAATGGTCCTAAACTCATCCCAGATTCAAAACACAGCTTTTATGACCTTCTCAAAATGTCCAGATTCCAAAAGCAAAACAGATCCTAAAATTCATCTAACAACTGTCACACTTCTTGCCCAAATAAATAAGGTACTTACCTGAAAAAGTTCAATAAACTCATCGGAAGAGTCACACATAATGCACAGCCTAAAAGGGAGAATATTTAAATTACTGTGAATTGTTATTCAAGAGGGATTTTTATAATTATCGAATACATACAAAATATGTAATAGTTTTAGACCCAGTAATTCGCAGGTTCGGGTTTACTTCTGTAACGAAATTAAATACATTTCTGAACAACAGTGACAACCGGAAGAGCAGCAGGGCAGTCTGGTGGTTCAGTGCGGAGGCTCGGGAGCCAGACTGGGCTCGAATCTCGGTTGTGCCAACAGGTTATGTGATTTCAGGCAGATTAACGCTTCCGTGCCTCAATTTCCTCTTTTATAAGCCAGAGATAGAATTGGCCCCGCAGGGTTTTTGAGAAGTAAGTGAGTTATTACACGTAAAGACACCTGGAGCAGGGCTTGGCATACAGTAAATCGCACGAGTGTGAGTTACCGATGGATTCCGCGGTTTCCCATTGCCACTGATTTTTCTTTCCCAAGCATTCTTCGTTTCTCCGCCCGCTCCGCCCACAGACACCAGTTCTTTCCCCTCAGACCTAACAAGGACAGCCCTCCCAGGAAGCCCTACCATTGCTTCTGCTGCCCTCGCTCTCTGCTAGCTGAGTCTGCTATTCCCAATCACTCGCCAGACTTTTCCATGGCCTTCCTCAGTACTCTTTTATTCCTTCTGCCTTCCCTCTGCAGAAACTGCACTCTTGAATTTACCAAGTTCTCCTAATGATCAAATTCGATATTCTTTCTTCATTCCTGACTTCTAAGTGAGAGGACTCCATTGACTCTCCACTAACTGTAATTCTTTCCTCCCTTTGCCTTTGTGATTCCATCCTCCCAATGTTCCTGTCAGGCATCCAGCTACTACGTGTGGTGTCCTTTATTGGCAACTCTGTCTCCTGCCCATTCCTAACTGGGCATTAACCTGTGCTTCTATCCTCCCTCAGAGAATCCTCTCTTACAGCTTTAACTAGAAGCTTCTTGCAGATGACTCCAAAAGCTGGCAATGTACTCTTGGGCAAATCAGACAATCTCTCTGAGCTTCAGACTCCACAGTTGTCCAATGTGGATGGGTTCAATGATTTCCTAATGTCCCTTGCAGTTTTAAAATTCTCTGATTTGCTGGGGGGGGGGGGGGGGGGTGGTGGCGGCACCTGGGTGGCTCAGTCGGTTGAGCTTCCGACTTCGGCTCAGGTCATGATCTCACGGTCTGTGAGTTCGAGCCCCACATCAGGCTCTGTGCTGACAGCTCAGAGCCTGCAGCCTGCTTCGGATTCTGGGTCTCCCTCTCTCTCTGACCCTCCCTCATTCATGCTCTGCCTCAAAAATAAATAAACATTAAAATTCTCTGATCCGGGGCACCTGAGTGGTTCAGTCAGTTTAGCATCTAACTCCTGATTTCAGCTCAAGTCATGATCTCACTGTTTGTCTGAGCCCGATGCACTGACAACATGGAGTCTGCTTGGGATTCTGTCTGTCTGTCTGTCTCTCTCTCCTCCCCCCCATGCACGTGCATGTACTCTCTCTCCCTCCCTCAAAATAAACAAATATTTAAAAATAAATAAACAAAAATAAAACTCTGATTCTACAGATTATAGAGATGTAACTTCCTGATCTTTCTCTCTGTCAAACTCCAAATCAACACATGTGGCAAGTTTCTGGATACTTCATTTGGATATTTCACTGTCACTCAACAGATGAGCCCCAGCTTACACACTCCAGACTCCCACTGACCACACTTGGCCTGGGGTGAGAAGGTGGTCAGTGCAGCTGTGGCCTGAAGGATCAACGACAGAAAGAGATTCCTTCAAAACAGCTCCTAAGACATTTTGCTAAAATGAGATGAAAAGACTGGAACCCACCAAACAGAAATCCCATCTGGGAAGATGAATTACTCTGCCACTCCCGAGCCCAACTGGAACAAAGTTCCTCAAGTTAGAAGAGCTTAGAGAGAAGGAGAAGACAGGCTGGTGTCCTCAGAAATCTTCAGCAGGTGACTCGGCCTCGTGCTGGGAAGCACAGGTAGGGAGCCAGGGCTGAATCAATTGACCCAGAATCACTGCGACGCTGAGGTGTCGAAAGCAGGCTGACACAAACTGGCAAAAGATTTGCTACCAGGAGTATTTTTAGTTTAAAATATCTTGAAATAGCTCTAGCTTAAATACAGCAAGCATGTGGGAAGCTTGAGCTCTATACGGGTTGCCAAAAAGACATACCACATCTTCTCTTACTCCTCTCAACGGCACCTAATGTGCTTTCCATAAAAAGGACGGGCATATCTCAGAGATGTTACAGGTTGACTCCATACCACCGCAACAAAACAAACATCGAACGGCACAAGAAAGTCACGTGAATTTTTTGGTTTCCCAGTTACGTTTATACTATAATGTAGTCTATTAAGAGTGCAATGGCATTATGTCTAAAACAAATGTGCTTGCCTTAATTTAAAAATACTTTATGGCTCTAAGACTCTAACCATCATCTGAGCTTTCGGTGAGGTGCAATCTTTTTGCTGGTGGAGGGTCTTGTCTTGAGGCTGATGGCTCCTGACTCATCAGGGGGGTGGCTGCTGAAGACTGGGGTGGCTGTGGCAAGTTCTCAAAACAAGAAACAATGAAGCTTCCCAGTGAAGCTTCTGACTCCTCCTTTCACAATTTCTCTACAGTATGTGAGGCTGTCTGATAGGGTTTTATCCACTGCAGAACTTCGTTCAAAACAGTCAATCCTCTCTAATCCTGCCACCGCTTTGTTTCAACTTAGTTTATGCAATACGCGAAATCCTTTGTTGTCATTTCAACAATCTTCAGGGCATCTTCACCAGTAGATACTATCTCAAGAAAACCATGTTGTTTTTTCATCCATAAGAAGTAACTCATCTGCTACAAAGTTTGAGCACCAGATTGCAGTAACTCAGTCCCAGCTTCAGGCTCCACTTCGAATTACAGTTCTCTTGCTGTTTCTGCCACAGCTAGTTACTTCCTTCGCTGAAGTCTCGAACCCCTCAAAGTCATCCATCCATAAAGGCTGGAATCAACTTCTTCCAAATTCCTGTCAATGTTGATATTCTGACCTCTCCCCGTGAATCACAAATGTTCTTAGTGGCATCTACAATACTGAATCCTTTCCAGGTTTTCAATTTACTTTGCCTAGATCCATCAGATCTTACAGCCTTATAAATCTGTATTTATTTCTTCAATAATAAGACTTGAAAGTTCAAATTACTCTTCAAGCTCCTGCAGGATGGATGCTTTGTTAGCAAGCAGGAAAACAACGTTAATCCCATTGTACGCTGTAATCAGAGCTCTTGGGTGACTAGGTGCTTGTCAATGAGCAGTAATATTTTGAAAGGAATCCTTTTTTTCTGAGCAGATCTCAATAGGGGGCTTAAAACACTCAGCAAACCATGTTGTAAACAGATGTGCTACTGTCCAGGCTTTGTTGTTCCATGTATAGAGGACGGGCAGGGTAGATTTGGCAAATTCTTAAGGGCCCTAGGATTTTCAGAATAGTCGATCAGCACTGGCTTCACGTTCAAGTCACCAGCTGCATTAGCCCCTACCGTGAGAGTCAGCCTGTCCTTTGAAGCCCTGAAACCAGGCATTGACTTCTCCTCTCTAGCTATGAAAGTCCTAGATGGCATCTCCTTCCGATATTAAGGCTGCTACAGGTACACTCAAAATCTGTTGTGTCGTGTAGCCACGTTCTTGAATTATCTGAGGCGGATCATCCAGAGAACCTGCTGCGGCTCCTACATCAGCACTTGCTGCCTCATCCTGCACTTTTACGACACAGAGAAGTCTTCTTTCCTTAACCGACTGAGCCACTCAGGCGCCCCAAGGCTTCTTTCCTTTAAACCTCACGAACCAACCTCTGCGAGCTTCACGCTTCTGCAGCTTCTTCCCCTCCCTCGGTTTTCCTAGAAGTGAAGAGAGCTAGGGCCTTGTTCTGAATTAGGCTTTGGCTCAAGGGAATGTTGTGGCTGCCTTGATCTCCTATGCAGACCACTAAAACTTCCTCCATGTCACAATAAGGCTGCTTCTCGCTTTCGTATCATTCTTGTGTTTAGGAAGGAGCACTTTTCATTTTCTTCAAGAGCTTTTCCACTGCATTTACAAACTTAGCTAAATGTGTGGCGCAAAGGGCCTGGCTTTGGGCCTATCTCGGCTTTCGACATGCCCCCCTTACTAAGCTTCATCACTTCTAGTTTGTAATTTAAAGAGGGAGACATGTGACTCTTCCTTTCACTTGAGCACTCAGAAGCCACTGGAGGGTCAGTAACTGGCCTAATTTCAATACTGTATCTCAGGAAATAGGGAGGCCCAAGGAGAGGGAGAGAAATGAGAGGGAGAGCGGAGGGTGGGTGGCACAGTCAGACACACACATTCGTCTATTAAATGGCCATCTTCCGTGGGCGTGCTCTGCGTGTCCCCAAAACAATTCCAACAGTAACATCAAAGACCGCGCGTCACAGACCACCATAGCGAATATAATAATGATGAAGAAGTGTGAAATACTGTGAGAATTACCAAAATCTGACAGACAGAGACATGAAGGGAGCCAATGCGGTTGGGAAAATGGTGCTGACAGACTTGCCCGACAAAGGGCTGCCACAAGCCTTCAATTTGTAAAAGAGACAAGTATCTGCAAAGCACAATAAAGTGCAATGAAACAAGGTATGCCTGTATGGGGAAAGCTGCTTTATTTACTTATACAGAAACGTGTGGGCTTTTGTTTTATTTCAGAAAGAAGAATTCAGGTAAACTCGTAAGTTACATGGAAAATTATGTGCCTATTAAAAGTATCCACTTTACCATCCCAAAATATATCTCACACCTCAGAGGATTCCATCTTCTCGTTAAGTTGAACACTTCAACGTAAAATGCAACAATCCTGCCACAAGACTAGCCACTTAAATCAGAAGATTCACTATGTGGTGGGAGTGAAAAGAAGCTAGCCTTCTCAGGCTAAAGAAATCCGTTCTTACAAAAACCCCCGAAAAAAGAACATTTGGAAGATTACAGCAGGGTTCTAAAATATCTGTAGACCAGAGCAACAGAGAATGGCCCAAACCACTGCCTAAAAGCCAGTGCCTAACGCACCAGCTTCTCAGCCGTTTCTAAGCTTTATCTAACGCCCATTCTATTAGCAAGGTGCACTGGGTAGTGAGGGGGGTTATTTTTCAGATAAGGGAACAGAGCAATAGCCGACAGCTTGCTTTTTTCTGCCTTTTTTTTTTTTCTTCTACAGAGGTCCTAATGCCACTCCTAGTGCCCCGGAGTAACAGCCCAGATAACTTCCTCTTTGCATAGAAAACACTGCCCCACTCAGTTAATCATCCCGTAGATATTCCCTCTGGCTAAAATCAAAAGGGAAACATTACCACAATCCAAATTTTTTACCAAATAAAACATTGTTACCAAAATCCTTTACCTAATATCCGGTGGCAAAAGAGAGTATGGGAGGAGAAGAGCACAACTTTCCAATGAATGTATTACAAAGTAATCTGTGTCATCTATTTCCTACAAACTAATGGTCTTCAATTCTGAGATAGGCACGAAATCTACACCAAATGTCCACCTAAATGTGGATCCTCTCAAACAGTCTAGATTCATTTAAACAGTTAGTTTACGAGGTTTATGCGATTTTGGTATTTATTTTCTTCGGACTAGAAGCAGCTTGGTGCCACATACAAAAAAACCACAACACAGGAATTTTGTTTTCCTTACTGGTTTGGTTGAAACCCTACAGGGCTATAGGGCTGTTCTGCTCGCTGGAGGGAACGGGAGAGAGGGACAGGTGTTACTGCTCGTAATCAATCAAACACTGGCTTGGATAACAAAGTGATGTTAAAACAGGCTTCAACATGGAGCTTCTTACCAATAATCATTGCAGTGAATAGGTCTCTATATAAGAAATTAAACAGGAAAGGTTCATACCAGGCCTCAACTCCCACAATCGCAGTCACTATGTAGACAAAAGATATAGTCTGGAAGGAAAATGCAGACAAAAGCATACAGAGGCATTAACAGCTGGAAAGGTCAAGGAGCCCGCAATGCTGTATGCAGCGTTAAATCTCGTAGTTTTAGTAAAAGCAAGAAGTACACTTAAATTTGATAATGTGGCAAGTCTTCTTCCCTTTAAAAGTTGCGGTTTTTTTAGCCAACGATGCCCTAAAATAACTAACTTCTACACAATGCAAACAACTGGCCATAATTTAGAACACTTTAAGGCACTTCAGGAATCGGTTAAGGTACGACACGGTCCAATTTGCCTACCCGATCACTTTCTTCAAACATTCCAATGTCTGAGGCTTTACTGGGACCTTAGGTACAAATGGGCAAAATGGCAACACAAAAAGCTGGGATTCGAAGGCAGGGAGAGTTAACAGCAAGCCTCTTAAGTAAAAGAAAACAAGTATCTCTACTCATTGAAAGCTCCCAGTAAAAAAAAAAAAGCAACAATTATATGTGCATCTCTCTCTTTACAAAATCAACAGTTCAAAGGAATATTTATTAACATTAAGAAACTGCTCATTTTCTAGTTAATAATGACATTGTGATTATGTCTTTTTAAAAGTGCTTTTACTACTTAGAGATAGATGGGAAAATGTTGATCACATAATATCAGGAATTTCCTTTAAAATAATTGGGAGAGGGGCGCCTGGGTGGCGCAGTCGGTTAAGCGTCCGACTTCAGCCAGGTCACGATCTCGCGGTCCGTGAGTTCGAGCCCCGCATCAGGCTCTGGGCTGATGGCTCAGAGCCTGGAGCCTGTTTCCGATTCTGTGTCTCCCTCTCTCTCTGCTCCTCCCCCGTTCATGCTCTGTCTCTCTCTGTCCCAAAAATAAATAAACGTTGAAAAAAAAAAAATTAAAATAATTGGGAGGAAGGGTATACATGAAACTAGACTGGCCACATAGCTGTTGAACCTAAGGAACAGGTACATAAGGGTTCACTATGCTATCCCTACTTTTTTATGTGCTTGAGATTTTCATAAATAAGCAACAAATAATACAAGATAAAAAGGAAATTTTTTTAAAAGCACACATCAGTTCTGGCCAAAAAAGCATAAGGGCAATAAAGAAGGAATGACAATGACAAAGACTACTCCCTTCCCCCTCCCCCCAAAAAATTCATAGCACTGTTGAAAATTTAAGGCAGAACACATACTTACCACCTGGCTAATGTCATATCCCCACGGCAGGAAAAGAATCCCTGTATTATACTTTTCCCAGTGGGACAGGATAAAAGAAAACAAAACTACCCATAGTAGGAGATAAAGAACAAAAACACTGACACCAGATGGTCCTCGTCCAAAGATGGAATACACAGTCACAACAAAGTAAACACATGACCAACTATCAAGGCCATGGTCAAAAAGCTCCCCTAAAGGGGTGCTGGAATTGGTTCTCCGGGCCTGCTTTCCATCCACACCATCTGCAACAGAAACACATTACCATGGGAAAAGGTCAACATCGGTACCGCAGGGAGAAAATCTTCTTTAACAAACTGGAGAAACACAAAACAAATCAGCGTATCATAGGAATGTTGATGAACTAAAGTACAGCGACCAGCCAGGACTGTAAAAATCCAACCTCTAATTCCTACAATTCAAAGATTTCAGAAAAAAACAAACAAACAAAAAAACCCACCCTAACTTCTTAGAGTTTAACCTAAAACTTAAAGTATATTACATCAACTAAATGGTGTCAATTTTAGATGTGAGGACAAAGCATTGTAGTTGGACTCTGAATTCTTCCAAATCGGACTAACAACTGAGTTGTTCTGCTAGCCACAAATTCTCAGGCCTCCAGAGAATATGCAATAGTTATTCATCACAACTGATCTAACCACTCCTTGCTCTAGGATCCAAAAACATCCCGAACTTCAGTCGTAACACCTATTTCATCTTGTTTGAAATTACAGTCACTTGGTTACAGATGTGCTCCTTCCCCGATTGTAAGTGCTTTCAGAAAAGGCTTTGCACACAGCAGGTGTTCAGTAAATATAAGAATTAAATGTATTGAAACTGTGCAAGGCACTGTTCCTGATGCTGTGAAGATTATCATAAGAATAATCTCCGAATAAAGTAAGTTTGCGTCCTCAGTGTTTATAACTGAGAACGGAGACAAAACATGGCGATTAAAGATACAGTACATCCCAAACCACAAAAGAGTTCGGAAAAGGGACAAGCACTCTTCACGCTAAGATAATCAAGAACGGCCTTCCAGACCAGATGAAACCTGAGTGGGGACATAAAGAATGAGTTGGATTTCAGTAGATAAGAGTATGCTGTTTCAAGAGGAGGGAGTGCTATCAGCAAAAACACCAAGATGGAAAAGCACATGCGTGTTCAGAGAATGCCAAAGTAGTTTAGGTCGACCAGAGGAAACCAGTAGGTAAAGAGGGCGGTAGAGAGGCCAGAAGGGAGGTTGGAGCCAGCTCAGAAGTTTCAGGGAGTACGGAGAGCTACGAAAAGGTTGTGAGTAGGGGAATGACAGGGGTAAAGGCAGTGACGTGCTTCAGGAAGATTCACCTGGCAGCAGTGTGAATGGCAGGCTGGAGAGAGAACACTAACCAGTAAGGCCCGCACTGACATGGAATACAGCAGGAATGAAAGGCTGGAGGCAGGTGAGATATTAAGAAAGTCAAACTGGCAATGCAGCAAAAGATGAGCGGTGAGGCTAAAGGACCAGAAGATCCTCCCGATTTCCCGTCTGGGTAACTAACTAAGAGAGTGGTAGAAATGGGGAAGTCCAAAGAGCCTGCCTGA